CGGCTCGACCGGGGAAGGACCACGCTCTCACAGAATACCAGCGTAAAATAGCAGCTTAACGCTGCTGTGTTTCGTATGGTGAGTGTAGAGAACCGGAGACCCATTTTACTGGAAAAGAGGCATTTTATCTTAGTCCTCAAGGCTGACAACGCATCTGCATTTTAATTAGCAAACGAAGATAGATGCAGATGTCTATGGCCACAGCAAACACTTACCATCAGGTGGACTGTGTGCTCGTTTGTCACCCTTATTCTTAAAAAAATGCCATAGACATGGACCTTATAGCTTAGAAAAATTAAAAAATTAATCGGAACATACATGCGTAAGTCACACCGACTTCATATTTGAGGCCGTATGCCTATTTAACGTTTTCACTACGAAAAAAGTAAAAAAAAAAGGAATAGCCCCCTTCCAACTTAACCTTTATTCTGACGGCTATCATTTATTACCCGGTGCTACTTGAATTTACATATTAGAGCACGCAACCTTCGCGATGTTGGGTTGGGTCAATGTTGTTTGTGCGCAAATATTTTTAGTCATTCTATCCATCCATTATATCTACGAGTATTACAGGCTATAAAAGTCTACAGCTAAACATAGTCCTCTACCATTGATTGCATCTTATGGAGGATTTTGCTATAGCTGCCGCCCCTGGCAGTAATTTTTTTATTACTTTGAAACCATGTAGTGGCGGTGTAAGAATATCCACTACTATATCCTTCCACGGGTGTCGTAAGAGGCGATAGAGGGAAACAAATACAGCACTTGCAGATGTTACTGGGAAAAGGCCTTTTCTTTCTGACAAGTTGTTGCAACAGGGAAGAAGCTGCCGCGCTACCTCAATACTACATGCAAATATGGGCTCCATAGTTCCAGGATGGATTTTTATTTTCTATCGACTTCAAAAAGGAGTCGGTATATATAAATTTATATTATATTTATATATATTACGATATAAATTTGATTAAGGTCCGAGTAATAGTTTTTGAGTACTTCTTAATAATTTATATTGAATTCAGTTGTACAAAATTTTTAATTTTAAATTATTCATTACAGTTTTATTCACAATAATTTATTTCATCGCGGTGGTATATAAACGTTTAAATGCCGTATGTTGCCAGTTTAAGAATATTCACTACCCTTTAATGGTCGACACCCTAAGACCTAAGAGGTGACCAGGGGATTTCCCAAGGAGATGAGCAGCAGCGTCTTCTTACTAACAACTAAAAATAACCAACTGCGGTTGCCAACTCGCCTGCCGAGCGTGCCAAATATGGCAAATATCCCCTATATTTCTCTGCGTGGGTCTATTCCCTCCATGGGGTGGCCTATGTTAGGTGAAGTACCAATACATATTGGTATTGGTGATAAAGCTGCAGCATGACTTACGTGGTAGAACCATGCTGCTATTTTAATAGTATAGTTGTAGCACGAATGGGGCGGCTCGACCGGTGAAGGACCACGCTCTCAGAGAATACCAGACTATGGGGTGAGTGTTGACAACCGGAGACCCTTTTTACTGGAAAAGAGGCATTCTATCTTAGTCCTCACGGTTGACTACGCATCTGCATTTTAATTCGCAAACGAAGATAGATATAGATGTCTATGGGCCACAGCAACCACTTACCATCACGTGGACTGTGTGCTCGTTTGTCCCCCTTATTCTATAAAAAAATATATGGCGATTATCTGGCTCCTGAGTTTCCACTCACACGGGATGCGCAGAAGGAGACTTCTCTAACGATACTTATTTGTTCAATCATTTGACGGCGACAACACCCGCTACCACCTGCTACAGCTTGTTAACTGCAAGCACGCGGTGACAAGTCTAGCCAGTCGTTTAAAGGTTCTATATGTTCGCTTTGTACTAATGGCAAGTCCTGGCTAACTATATAGATAATAATTACTTAACTGTATAAGCCAAAGAGTATATAATCACTACGTTTCAGTCCTGGCTGAGTATTTGTCATACCCTATTTAAATAAAAGAAGATAGAAGATGACAACTCTATCCTATATACTGTCTGTAAACTGTACTAAGTACGTCCGCATTTAACTATGTGCGTATGCGATATGCGTAGGTGTTAGTTACCATAGTTACATAACCTTGAACTTTTCATGTAATCTAAACGCAAATGTCCAAATGTTGGGGTGGAAAACAGAAGGTCATATAGACGAAAATAAATTCTATAAATAATTCAATTTATGCAAATAGCATAGGTCAGTTATCAGTTTTAACATCTGACGCTCAAAGAACATTTGCAAGACACCATACAAAGTTCTAATGGTATTCAGTTATAGCATCTAACTATGGAAAAATATTAAAATAAGTTTTAAAAAGTTAGCTTACATAAAAACAATGCAATTAAGATAAGAATGTGAATGACATCCGCCATATTGTGACGTCTTAGCTGTCAGTATAAACCGGTGACTAAACCTTAGAGTACTTACGTATGTATGCATAGACGAAACCGACAATTGTACGTATATTGAAACAATATACTTGTCTCGCTTTTTCTAATTTAAATTTTAAATAAGACAAAAAGAGGCAAACCCATTGAAAGATGTTGCGTGTAATTTAAGCGCAGAGATTGAATGGCAAGCGGTCATTTTTAGTCTCTTTATACTAGGGCAAATGTGAGAGTAAGTACTTAGACTTGGTATCTTCTGATTTACCAGAAAATGACATCCCTATTGTAGTAGTATTATATGTGACGTTATTTCACAAGATATGACGTCTTTAATCTATAGTGATTTCGTTTTCAATGTTACCAATAATCGATATCGATATACTGTTTTTTGTTTTCTTTTATATTTGCTTTACTATATGTCCGTGAATATAAAGAAAATTGAACTATACTTACAATTATTCCAACGATTAAATGAATTATTTTCGGGATCAAGTGATGATGATTATATTATATTTTTATTCATGTTGAAAACTTTATAAAACAAATAGTTAGTGAGGTATCAACGAAGTCTTGGCAGTGACACGGTGCATATGCGAGTTGGATCCCATTTGTAATCCCAAGTTCATATGCTGATTTACCATTTGCTCAGCAGAAAATGAAACCATCGAGAAAGCTATGTCTGCTTGGATGAAAATATTTCAAAATTATGTATTGATAAAGCAGGATCTTGATAATAACGTGTAGTAGTGGCTTAATAGTACCCACTGCGTTATACTTAGTACCTCTAAAAACCCACATTATGAGTACCACTTACGGGATGCTGTTGGATGGTAAGGTTGTTATCAGGAAGATACATAGCAGTTTCTGATAACAGCACTTGCTAACAAAGCTTTACAAAATTATAATCCAGTTTACTTTTGATAGGCTGTAATTAATGAATGAATGATGTATGTCTTGAGAGAGCAGTGAGGAAAACGGCCAATACGTTCGTAATCGATTTATTGGTAGTTGTGGTTGAGTGAGAAAGAAGCAATGCCCTCTATGCGTTTCGTGAAACAAACTCGGTGTCGATTAAACAAAATAAATAAGTAAACTGTTTCAAAGAGGTTCTTGGTTAACAGTTATTATTTCTTGTGAAACCCATAATAAGGCTAGGAGTAGTAGGGGCAATTTAACCGGCTGAAAGGAAAAATTTTAACTTACCACGATATTACGAAATTCCTCATTATTTGACTACGTTATTGTTGTAAGATATCCGATGAAGCTTCTATGAATATTCCTCAATATAAATAAGTATAATACGAACAGGATTAATATTTTTTTTTTATTTTATTAAGTTATAGACTTAGTAAATAAATTTATCGATAACATTTTTGTTACGTTAACGACACATCAATTGAGATGTCTATGCAATGAAAAAATGACAACAACCTTCTAAAAGAAAGAAGGTGAGAATAATATAGCTATTTTATTTTGTGCCACTTAAAACGTCGTAAGCATAAAGAGTTCAACTATAAGAATTTTATTATCACTTCAGGATTTCCTCTATGTTTGTAATTACTCTGAGGATTAAACAAATATGTGAAAAATATATTTATTTCCAAAAATCCATTTTTAATGACAAAGGTCTTGTATATAATCTTTTGATCATTAACTATCGCAAGAACAGCGACAAATTAACAAAATTCAAAACAAAAACCAAATTCGAAATAATAAAAAAAAAATAAGAATTGGGTCGGCTTGATTGGATACCTGCAAATAAATCAGTTAGTGGTGATACTGTGTTTCATATGTTGAGTGACGAAAACCGTAGATCTTTTATACTGATAACGAGCACATTCCATCTAAGTCTTCGGTGGTAACAATACATCTGCATTTTGGTTCTCAACATCCGCTTACCATTAGGTGTAAATATGTCCTTACTACGAAGTACTTTAAGAAAAGTAGTCACGCTTACTTCTTAAAAAAAAAACAGAGGCAGTCATATCTCACATATATATCATATGCGTAAACATGTCAGGCCGATATACCACGCTTCGCTAGTTTGGCTCAAGCCATACAAGCGACGCTTTTTGGGCATGCGTATATGCGTAATACGTCACGAGAATGTCAAGGTCATTGGTGACGTGAACCCATAAGTTTTTCCCTACCAAAAATCGTACAACGCGGCTAAAGAAGTTTTCAAAACCTGCCAGTTGTTGATCCTATTATCAAATATTCATGAAGGTAAAGATACTGTCTACAGACGTAAACTACTGTGTACTGCCTAGGCGTCCCACAAGGTACAGGTTTCCTCACATTTCTGATTAGGTTATGCAATAGAAGAGTCCGCCTCGCTACTCTAGTCTAGGGTCGAAGGCTTCAACTCGTAGAAATATTTTATATTTATTATCGATGAATAAAATGAACCAGAGCATCCACTTACCATGAAGTGAACTTGGTGCTTGCTTGTCATCCTTATTTGCTTATATGAAAATATGACATCGTGACCGAAATTGACCAGGAAAACCGTCATCATCCAGTTATCAATGACGCCCCAAAAACACGGACAACCAGAACCACCGATTAATTTGGTCTGTTATATTTGCAGCCCGGCCGTGTTCCCGACAAGCTGAGTGCGCTGGCATCACCAGTTCGTCCTGCGTTCGTACCCATTACGACTCTGTGACCAGGTGTCTCTGTGGAGACAACTCCCCTCCACTGAATGGACAATGCGAGGCTCAGTCCAAAGGTAAGACTGATTTCTGTATATCGTTACCATTAAAGCCTATCAAAGTTCATTGCGAACATACGCCTCAGATGACAGACATGCTGATTTCGTCACGATGTATTCCTTCACCGCCGAGCACGTGGTAAATCAGCACTTAAAATTGAAATTAATAAGTTCATTGGTGCCGGCAATGATCGCACCCGGGTTGCGATCACTGCCAGCACCAATGAACTGCGATTTCGTGTGGTGGTGCCGTGAGAGAACGCATCGAGTCATATTGTACCGTGGCGTTAAAGAACATAGGTACAAGAAATTATCGGATATGGCGAAAAGATCATACTTATTACTTAATAGTAGCCAAATGAAATAATAATTAAATCATATACAAACATAAGTAGCGGCACGAAAGTCTAGCGGTGACCATTATTGCGCATAAGTCGCGCTGATTGGCTTATTGCACATAAATCACGCTAATTGATTCGTGCGTACCGTTCGCACGCGCTGATTGGCTCTCCAGTCGCATCAGTGCAATGCAATTCGTGCGCGTCCCATCCACGTTTCGTTCAGCGCTAGACTTACGTGCCGCGACTTGTAATTTGCAGGCTATGCTACGCACTAACGCCAGTTATCTTATACCGTGATTAAAATTTTATGATTTATCAATGGCAATAGGCACCAGTCTCAAAGGTGCAACTTGTCCGGTACTGCGATCATCAATTCACCTACCAAGCGTGACGATTGAGGCAATTCGTCCCTACAACGGGAGAGAGTCTTGTCCAGCTGGGAATTTTTACAAACTAATGAGGAGAATGAAGAAAAAAAACCCATCTTGTTTCATAACCACAAACTTCGCTAGACATAAATTAAACTTCAGTAATACTTATCAATGGCGAGTAGGTCACTCACCTTCGATTTGCCGACGATATAGTCCTCATGGCAGGATCGCTGGAGGACCTAAGCACTATGCTCAATGACCTCAATAGTGTCTCCCAACGGATAGGTCTTAAGATGAACATGGACAAAACAAAAATCATGTGTAACGACCATGTCACACAGCCTATGCCGTTAGTTGTTGGGAGCAATACGCCCGAAGTTGTCGACGAGTATGTTTACCTACGACAAATAGTCCGACTAGGTAAGTCCATTTTCCACCGAAAGATCAATCGACAGATTCAACTCAGCTGAGCAGCGTTCGGGATATTACTACGAATCTTCTCATCAGGTATACCTCAAAACCTGAAAAGAAGATTGCACAACACAGTGAGGCATATAATATATAATATAGCATATATAGTATATATAAGTGCCGCGTAGTGGCGGTCAAGAATATCCACTACCCCATATCCTCCCGTGGGTGTCGTAAAAGGCGACAAAGGGAAACAGGCAGGAGATGGGCAGCAGCATCTTCCTGATAATAGCCAAAATTACAATAAAAAAACTGCGGTTGCCAACCCGCTCGCCAAGCGTGGCAACTATGGCAAATACCCCCAATGATTAAAGCAACAAAAAGACGGCCCCCAGTCCCCGGCGGCCCGGCTATTCCTGGCTACGGTGGCGACCGTGGTAACGGCGGGGCAGGGGGTGCTAAGAATCTCCGGTGGAGGTTCGGTTGCCACCTTAGACGACTCGACCTGGCAACGTACAACGCACGCACCCTGAGGACTGACGAGAAGATCGTGGAGCTGGAAGAAGAGATAGACAAGTTGCGCTGGCATATTATAGGATTATCCGAAGTCCGAAGAGAGGGGGAGGACACGGTAATCCTCGAATCCGGCAACTTGCTCTATCACCGGGAGGGCGACCATCTGTCCCAAGGAGGAGTCGGATTTATCGTCCACAAGTCTCTCGTTAACAACGTTGTAAAGATCGGGAGTGTGTCGACGAGGGTTGCGTACCTTATACTCAGAATCACCAAACGGTATTCGCTGAAGGTCATACAGGTTTACGCACCAACCTCGGCACACCCCGATGAGGAGGTGCAGGAAATGTATGAGGATATCTCTAGAGCCATGCATTCCTCCAAAACCCAATATACGTTGTTAATGGGAGACTTCAATGCAAAACTAGGTACAAGAGAAAACGGTGAGCTGAAAGTAGGGAAATTTGGAATAGGGCAACGGAACCCAAGGGGCCAACAGCTGGCCGACTTCATGGAGAAAGAGGGACTCTTTATGATGAACTCTTTCTTCCAGAAGCGGCCCCACAGGAAGTGGACCTGTTCGAGCCCCGACGGTTCGACAAAAAATGAGATTGACTTCATTATGACGACCAGACGACAACTGTTCAGTGATGTATCCGTGATCGCGAGGGTGAAAACTGGTAGCGATCACCGAATGGTTAGAGGCACACTGAACCTAAACGTTAAGTTGGAGAGGTCTCGTCTAATGAAGTCAACGCTCCTTCCCCCTCGTGCTCTGTTCCAAAGTCCCGAAACCTTTCAGTTCGAATTACAACACCGTTTTCAGTGCCTAGAAGAGAAGACTGCAATGAAGTGTGAGAGTGTGAGAAGAATGACAAGCTCGTGGAAACTGTCCATGCGGTCGGAGCTAAGTTCTGCAAGACCCGCCGCAGAAGAACACAAAAACTCTCCGATCACACTCTTAATCTCATGGCTGTTAGACGGGAGATGAAGCTACATTCTTCAACAGACTTGACAGCATACAGGCATCTGAACAGACAGATCTCCAAATGCATGCGGCGGGACTTACGCAACTTCAATACAGCTCGTATTGAAGAAGTGATCGAGCGGAACCAAGGTTCCAAGTCTTTGCCAGAGATCTGTCTGCCAGAAAGAGCCAACTGTCAAAGCTGAAGACAGAATGTGGCAGCATCGTTTTCGGGACACCTGAGATTTTGAGTGAGATTGAGAGGTTCTATGGGCAGCTGTACACGTCATCGTTAGAGCCACACGCAAGTGTGAGTAACGATCCAAGAGCGTGTCTCATCCGACACTATTCCGAAGATATCCCGGACGTCAGTCTGAGCGAGATTAGAATGGCTCTCCAGCACCTTAAAAACGGTAAGGCCCCAGGCGAGGATGGAATTACAGCGGAGCTTCTGAAAGCGGGTGGAAAACCGGTACTTGAAGTCCTTCAGAAGCTCTTTAATTCCGTCCTCCATGGTGGCATTACACCGGAGGCGTGGAGCAGAAGTGCGGTGGTGTATTCTTCAAGAAGGGCGATAACGCTCTCTTGAAGAACTACAGACCGATTTCCCTTCTGAGCCGCGTCTACGTGCTGTTTTCGAGAGTCATTACGAATCGTCTCGCACGCATACTTGACGACTTCCAGCCTCCCGAACAAGCCGGTTTCCGAAAGGGCTTTAGCACCATAGACCACATACATACCCTTCGGCAAATTGTACAGAAGTCCGAAGAGTACAATTTGCCACTATGTCTGGCGTATGTGGACTATGAGAAAGCCTTTGATTCCGTCAAAATTTGGGCGGTGCTGCAGTCCCTTCAGCGGTGCTAAGTTGACTGTCGGTATATCGAAGTGTTGAAGTGCTTGTACAGTAGGGCTACGATGGCTATCCGAGTACAGAACCAGAGTACGAAACCTATCCAATTGCAGAGAGGTGTAAGACAGGGTGACGTTATATCCCCGAAACTCTTCACCGCTGCATTGGAAGACATTTTCAAGCTTCTGGACTGGAAAGGATACGGTATCAACATCAATGGCGAGTACATCACTCACCTTCGATTTACCGACGATATAGTCCTTATGGCAGAATCGCTGGAAGACCTAAGCACTATGCTCAATGACCTCAATGGTGTTTCCCAACGGATAGGTCTTAAGATGAACATGGACAAAACAAAGATCATGTTTAATGTCCATGTCACACCTATGCCGGTAGTTGTTGGGAGCACTAAGCTCGAAGTTGTTGACGAGTATGTTTACCTGGGACAAATAGTCCGACTAGGTAAGTCCAACTTCGACCGAGAGGTCAATCGACGGATTCAACACGGCTGGGCAGCGTTCGGGAAGCTACGACACATCTTCTCGTCAGACATACCTCAAAACCTTAAAACGAAATTGTACAACCAGTGCGTGTTGCCAGTGATGACTTACGGAACTGAGACGTGGTCCTTCACTGCTGGCCGTATGAGGAAGCTCAAGGTCGCTCAGCGAGCTATGGAGAGGGCTATGCTCGGAGTTTCTCTGCGTGATAAACTTAGGAATGAGGATATCCGCAGTAGAACCAGAGTAACCGACATAGCCCAACGGATTAGTAAGCTGAAGTGGCAGTGGGCCGGCTATATAGCTCGAAGAACCGACAACCGATGGGGAAGAAAGGTTCTCGAGTGGCAGCCTCGTACCGGTAGGCGAAGTGTAGGGCGTCCCCCCACGAGATGGAGTGACGACCTGGTAAGACATGCAGGAAGTCGATGGATGCAGGTGGCTCAGGACCGTGCTTTGTGGCATTCTTTGGGGGAGGCCTATGTTCAAGAGTGGACTTGTGAAGGGCTGTAATGATGATGATGATATATAAGGATCAGTCGATTTTGCCCTAGTCCTCTTGCCTTACAGCCTGTCATTAGAATAGAATAGAATAGAATAGAATAGAATAGAAAATAATAATTTTTATTCAATATAGATTATAGTACCTACATAATACTTATTGAAAGTCACTTTTTACTTTTACCACTGGTTCGCGAAAAAAAACCTCTGTCCTGGGAAGAACCGCTTGAAACCCAGCGGTACTTTTTTTTAAAGCACAGTTTATAATATAATATTTTATAAAATAATTGTTATGAAAACATTTAGAAACTGCATGGTAGTGATCAGCTCATCCCAAGGGGTTATTATCATTCATGTACTCTTCACTAGTATAATAACCAGACAATTTTTGCTTAACAATTTAAACCTTTTGATAGAAAAGGTCTGCATATTTTCTGGGACTTTGTTGTAAAAGCGTATACATTGCCCTATGAAGGAATTACTGACCCTTTGGAGTCGAGTAACTGGTATAATTAACTTGTGCTTGTTCCTTTTATTGGCCATTATATTGGCTCTTTTACC